AAAAAACCAAAGCCTTAATTATGTACCAGAAGATGTATTTGTTCTTTTCACTATCATGGATAACTCCAATATAAATGTGGAGAAACACAAAAAGATGAGTGCTTGATAAAAGTATATGAGTACTGTAAGAATGGTTGGCCTGAAGAGTCAGTGAATGATGATTTAAGGGCATATAAAATAAGAAAAATGGAATTAAGTCTAAAAGATGGAGAAGATGCAGTCCATTATCAGTCAGAGTTGCCTAAACAAAGTATTTGTAACTTAATAAATGATTATGGTGATATGGCAATTTCAAATGCTTTTAAAGAGAATACATTAGTAAGAAGGAATGTGATCATCAAACAACTTTGCTAACATCATTAGCACTTACAGAAACTAAAAGGGTAACATCAAAAGAAAAAAAAGATTTTTGCCATTTAATACACCCACTTCAAATACTGGATCACAGTTGCAAATTGATATGGTCCAGGATAGTACTTTTAAACAGTATTTTAGGTTACCAAAAAGCACTATCAGATTACCTGAGAAAATTGATCAATCAAAGAAATCTATGTCAGTTAATGATCTGAATAATAGCATACTTTCAGATGCCAATTCAAAAATAGTTCCATTAAATCATGACAAAACATCCATTGAAAGAGAATTTGGATTTAATGAGAATGTGTATCTGAGAAATTATGGGAGAGGGGAAAAATGGATGCCAGGTCAAATTATTCAATGTACAGGACCTGTGTCTTATAAAGTAAAAACAAATGATGGACTTATTGTCCGTAGACACGCAGACCAGTTAAAAATAACTTGTGCAGATAATAATTGTGAATCTGTCAATCCCACCAAATCTGAACAGTTCACACCAACTCAGTTTGTTCCACAACCAAGTTCTGTTGATATGAGTGAACCAAGAGGTCTAGAGTCAGAAAATGTAAATTCTGGAATTAATGATTTAGATCCTAGACCTCCTGAGATAGAGAATCCAGATGGTCAGAATCTTGAGTCACCAAATCAAAAGCCACTGAGAAGGTCAAGCAGGACAATCAAAGTCCCAAATAAGTTAGACCTATGATTTTAAAGGTCAAAAGGACTTTGACATCATTGTTTTGTATTTTAATTATGTTGTAACATATTGTGCATTGTTTGTAAGGATGTAATCTACCAAATGATTTAAATCATGTAATGTTCATGTTACAATATAATTGGTGATTTTGGAATACTATCATTTGTTCTATTGAGAGATGTGTTGTGTTTACTAAGGGTAAAGGGATGTAATATATTGAGAATTGTGAAGTCAAGGGAACTCACTCTTCTTGTATTAGTTTTATATTTATAATGTGGTTATGAGTGATGTCCCTTGTATATTGTTGTTCCTCTTCCGGTTTCGAATAAAGACAGCTACATGCTGATGGCTTCTGTGTCCGTTGTATTCTAATCTATTACAATATTATCGGGGCATCTTTATTATGTTCATTGCATCCGTTTTCATTTTGATGGACGTAACGGCATTCGTAGAGTGATTAAGCACATAGCCTATTAATTTTTTTAAAAATTCTAATGATATTCTGTATAATATTCATGGCCATGTGGATTTTTATTTTTAAATAGTGGACGGTTAAATACAAACGTTAAAGTCCGTACTGTTTTGATACACTGAGCCGAGTTAAGTTCATTCTAAAGTTGTCCTGAAGTCTCACACGTCTTAATTACCGGCATTCACGGCCGCCCGGGTGTACCTTCGTGAAACACATAAATAAGGTGTAGCTAGCTGTCACTTGGTTCCAGAGGCGTATCCAGGTTTTTTCGTTGTAGGGGGAGCGAAAAGAGCAAAAAAAGGCGCCGAATTTTTAACACGTTCTATATTCGTGTATTATATATATATATATATATATATATATATATATATATATATATATATATATATATATATATATATATATATATATAATTATTAGCTGTATGTCTTTACTTCGCTATGATGTAAAATAAATTGAAAGTAGCACTCTGAAGAAATAAACCGGGAGTGATCTCCCCTAAACTTTCTCGAATATTCTTATATAAAACAACAGTGGATGCTAACTCGGGCTATAGACATGATTTTTAATCCATTTTAAATACTTAAAGTTTTAAAAATAGAATAAAATCTCGTAGACAAAAGAATTGCACACCAAGTGAACGCCAAATAAAAAAGTGCACAATAGTGCGCAATATTATTAGTACTTTTAAAATTTACATTAGTTTTTTGAGAAAAAGTAGCGTAAAATACTACTTTCGGTCAATGGAAATGACTCAAAATTTAACAGAAGGTAGAGAATTAGATCTTTTACTTACATGTGAAATTTCATTTATCTATCTGAAATAGTACTCAAGTTATAGGCTTTTGAAAAATTCAAAGTAGAAAAAGTACCACTTCCGGTTATCGGAAATCGCTCAAAAGTTGATACCGATCTACGATTTTGATAAAATACTTATATATGAAATTTCATCAACATAGCTGTAACGGTACTCAAGTTATCGTGTTTACACACGGACAGACAGACAGACATACGGACAGAATTGCAAAGCCCAGTTTTTCAGACTGGATTACGCATAAAACCTCTTAATTTTGATAAATCTGGATTGATAATTTTTGCCCGATTAAAATAAGTCCTCTATACTTCGGATGTGACAAAGGACTGAGGTGTAATACGGTGAAAATTGTTAAAATTTCATGTGATTTTTGTGCACGATTACAATACTTTCTCTATACTTCGTATATACGAGAAAGTAATAAGAAAAAACACACAATGTAGGCCGACAAAACAAAAATTGTATCAATCTAAACAAAAAAAAATATACACACACTACAACCAAAAACAATGAACGTAACACAATATGTTTTGTGATTCTTGTTTAAAAAATTATTACATTATAATTCCTGGGAAATTATTTAAGACAAGTGAAATACGGCAAATAGTTACTCTCTTAATATAAATATGTATATATCTACACATTTAATTATGAATGTCATAACAAATAAATAATTACTTAAGAATATAATAAAATTGTTTAACACCATTCGTGCTTACGAAATGTTTTTGTCTATAATGAGACTTCAATATATCGTCATCATAAATGCTAAAGTATTACAGCATAATGAAAGTTTTTAAAATCAGAGTTGGTATAAAACCACGCTTTTCGATACAATGGAAAAACATTCGGAATAACAGCCTACTGATGCAGCTGTTGCTACGTGTTGCAAACATAGACACTACTATACTAGTACAATAATGCTTAATTGCTGCATGAAAAGAAGTCTTGTGGTTTACATAGTTGTACCGACCAAAAATATTTTTTTTACAAATAATCAACTTACAAATATTATTGTTTAAAACTTTGAGTTTAAAAAGTTTCCAAAAAGGCGCCACTTTGCTGAAAATGGCCAGAGGGGGAACGGCCGCTCCCCCTGCTCCCCCCCCCCCCCCTGCGTACGCTACTGCTTGGTTTCCTCCCAAACAAACCTCCTATTGTAAGACCGCGATGTTGATCGGTAATGTAATACGTGGACGCTCTATTAGTACGGCCAGTGATCTAATGTAGCACTCGAATCTGGAGACTTTTTCTTTTGGGTTTTCCATCCGATAAGCATAAATTTAAATGCACAGTCTGCGTGATCCTTTACCTCACCCCACCAACTTTCACCAACCCAAAGCACATACCCATTATCTTAATTGGGGGCACATAATATAGACCGAGTTTTATTTCAACTAAAAGTAGAGCCATCTGTAGAGTAATTGAGCCCAAATTGATGTAATGAAATGTGGGGGTGGGTTCAGGCCATGGTCAACATTTATGGATTTCCCCCACCTGAACTGGACAGAAGGCGTTACCTGGGTGTTAAATTTGGGAAAACACGTCCTAGTTGTAGTTGTAGGGAGGGTCTGACATAGCGAAGTGGATGGTTTGACACTGACCGATGTTTTAGAGTACCTAGCATCACAAAATGTGAAACATCTCTTGTTCAGGCACACTCTCGCCTGTATTAATTGCACTATAGGAATTCCCAAGCAGGCCAAGAGAAGTAGCCTATAAATAGAGGCGTTACCGTTGTCCCGCACGGTAATTCGAAACCGGATGAGACTCTATTGTAGGGAAAGGCATACTCCCCCTCCCCCCCCCCCACACACACACCCGACATGTCCCCCAACTGTCTTCCCGCCCCGCAGTTTCACCCATTAAAAAAATTAGTTATTCATTCCTTGGGATTTAGCCGTATTCTATGTTTTCATCTTGATAAGTACAATTTTTTAAAATGCTTTTCTATTTGTATTAACTTTAATTTTTAATATATGTATATGTGTGTGTTTATATATATATATATATATAGGGGGGGGGGGGCTTCTTCCGCTTGAGTTTGCCCCGGGCATCTACATAGGTCTGCACGCCACTGATGTAGTATTTAAATTTTACTATTTTCATAGACATAATGATCTTAACTGAGAAAAATTGTAGGCCTAAGACTAATATCTACAGATAAAATAAACAATTAGGCTTAAATGGATCGCACGTAAATGACGTCATACTTTTCCCGATGATTTCCCTCTTACCCCAATGGTCACTAAAAGCCACATCGTTGATTTCATATCATTTCGCAGGTCTACCATACCTCAACCTTTAATCACAATTTCTAACGAAAACGATTATGTTCTTCAACATTTTTAAAATTATTTTTTTCTATATTTTTAGTCCAACGTCATTTATGAGGAAATGGACGACCTAATAATTGACATGTTTATCAGTACAAAAGGGTTTAAATGTTGGACTTCCCAAACGTTTTTGAGGTCTTGGATGTACATATATAGCCTTTATTTCAATTGAATTTAAAAACAAGAAGGCTGCACATTGTCCTACTTATTTTAAACAAAACAGCTATGCTATGTTTATTAAAAAGTCAATACAATATACATATGAATAGACATTATTTTGTCAAGGGAATCTACTCTAGTTTTTGTTTGGAAAGATGGTCGCTGTTCTTATTTACTACTAGAAATCTAGATCTAATATTTAAACACCTTGTTTAAAGTTAGTTTATAGTTTCATGATTTTTAAAATAGTTTTGGCCATTGATTGTTGTTAAAAATCAATTAGGCCTTTTATATTTAGTAAAATTTGACATAAACATTGAATCTACTTATTTATAAAATAGGTAGGCCTAATCGATTGTTTTTTTATAGGCTTTAGACTTTAGGGTAATCTATCGTTTTGGGTACGTAAAATCGCCCGCGGCTATTAATGTACGAAAACGTTACCTCATTGTCAAGGCTGTAATAGAAGTATATTGTGATATGTTTGTGTCAAATATTATAGATAAATGAATAATAAACCTAAATCAATGGCTAAATATATCAATATAGGCCAGAAATTAACTTTAAACAGCTGTGTCTGCAAGCAAGATTTGCTATATAAACAGCAGCCATTTGTAAAATAGAGTGACTTCCGCCTGAATCTCGCGCTATATGTCTATAAAAATAAAACTTTAACAAGATGGCTGCTATAGTAAATGAGCGTGGTTGCATCTGTTGGAAACATCGCTGGTGTTCATTTATTACTGAAAAGTTTTAATTCAAATGTTTAAAAACAGGTACATAAATGAAACAAGGAAACATTTTTGTATTTTTCAAAACATTAATCCTCCTCAAAATGTGAAATAATTATTAAAATGTAAGGAGTCACCTGTTTTTCACATTACTAGTCGCGGCCGATTTTACGTACCTAAAACGATAGATTACCGACTTTAGTTTAGGTAGCCCCCCCCCCCCCCCCCTACGTAAACTTTATTAAAATCGCCCGCGACTAGTAATGTGAAAAACAGGTGACTCCCTAAATTGTAATAATTATTTCACATTTTGAGGAGGATTTATGTTTTGAAAAATACATAACTGTTTCCTTGTTTCATTTATGCACATTTATGTACCTGTTTCCAACAGATGCAACCATGCTCATTTAGTATTTAGTATTTACTAATCAGCCATTTTGTTTATTTTTTTATTGTACATTTATAGTAGTTATAGCGCACGATTCAGGGGAAGCCACTCTAACTTACAGATGGCCGCTATTTATATAGCAAATCCTGCTCGCAAACACTGGTGTTTAAAGTTAATTTCTTGCCTATATTGATATATTTAGCCATTGATTTAGGTTTATTATTCATTTATCTATAATATTGGACACAAATATATCACTATACTTCTATTAAAGCCTTGACTATGAGGTAACTTTATCATACATTACTAGCCGCGGGCGATTTTACGTACCCAAAACGATAGATTACCATATATATATATAGTATGGGGGCATCTCCCTCTTATATATATATATATATATATATATATATATATATATATATATATATATATATATATATATATATATATATATATATATAGGCCTATATATTTGTATATATATATATATATTATACAGGCCTTAAGCTTATTAATTGACACGAGCTAGAAAGTATTCGAGAGGCCCATTAATTAATTTAAAAATCATGCACGGAGTAGTTACAATTAATATGGGTATAAAATCCTGTCTGTCTGGGTTTTTTTCGGACTTTACTAAAGATTTGATGTATTTGATGTTTATAATTTTTTCGGTAACCTAATAAAAATTTAAAAAAAAGCAAAAACAATTTGGTTTTCACGTTTCATTACTAGATAATTGATTGGATTTTGTTAGTTTAGAATTTTGCATATTGTTAAAAATGTATGTTTCTCTTTTGTTAAATACACAAGATTTTTTACATGGAAGACAAGTTTTAGTTTTTGTTTAGGCCAGTCATAATGCTAATATTCACATTTTAAAAATTGACTTTCCCAGGCTAAAATAGACAAAACCCAATTTAAGCTGCAAGTTGGTTATACTATTTATTACAATATCTGTAACCGTTGGCCAAAGGAGCTAACTAAAATAGATCTAGTTGATAGAAACAATTGTTGTTAAAGTTTTATGAAACAAAATTAAAAAGACTAAATTATCAACAATAGAAAAAAATTCAAACAATAGACAGCTCTTTACTTCGGAGTTGGATTAGATTAATTAATAATACATTTTGCAGGTAACTTCTTTTGTTTAATTAATAGTACAACATTTCAAATTGCTTTTTCTCTCTATATTTTCAGTAATTTTTTATTGGTTAGACAAGCTATATAATATTATATTCAGATCTGTATGAAATTGTATAATTTATTAATATTAGGTAAAAGTACTGCATATTATGTAATACTAGCCGTCCCGGCCAGGCCCTGCTCTGGCCTCTGTGAAAAACCTATCTGTAAAGAACCATGACATGTGTGTTTTGTGATCAGCATATACCCGGCATTGCCCACACTAACCACAACCAACCAAAACCAAAACACAAATAAAGAAAGGAAACATAACATAAACGCAAACACTAATACAAACAATAACACAAACACAAAGAAAAAAAACACAAACACAATGACAAAGAAAGAACGAAAACGAACAAAATCAAAACGCAAACCCAACCACTAACGCAAACCCAACCTAAACACAAAGTAAACACAAACGCGAACATAAATGCAAAGTGCTCACAGTCTAGCCCGGGGTGCCAAATCGCACCATCCTGGGGCGCCGGCGGAATCGCCTGTTTTAGCTTAATAAAGGACTGTAATACCCCAACTTATTTATAGTCTTTTGCACTCACTTAAACGAACGTAGGTGCCAAACCAAACACAGGAGGCCCGGGGCCCCAAATAGCACCCTGTCTGGGCGCCAGAGGATGCCCGGATTCGATTCACTTAAAGACTATAGTAACCTTTCTTATCCATACTCTATTGCACTGTTTAAAGCGAAATTATGCACCATAGCGCTCACAGGATAGCCCAGGGCGCCAAATAGAACCCTGGTGAGGCGCCGGCGGACGCGCCTGTTTCAATTTAATGAACAATTATAATATTCCAAGCTTATCTGTAAACAGAAAGAAATAAACATATAGGACATGTAGGACCTGGCTTATTAACTGTTATTGATTTTAAAAAATAATTAGTAAACAATAAGCTCAGTGTATAGAATAAATAAAAGGCAGTGTTAAAAATACCTACAACTTTTGCACTTGATCAATCCCCGCTAATTATGTAATTATTTTTTTTTCCCAACACCAAAACAAAGTAATAAAAAGTAAATTCTTTTCCACTAATGCAATGTTTTATAAAGGGAAGTCATTGTGTTTTCCTAATTTATCAAAGGGAAGTAAGTGCTAAAGAGCTAAATATAAATAATTTTCAGACATTATTAGAATTTTTGTAAAAGATTATATTTTTTTAAAATTGTGTTTAATGAACATGCCGACAATTATTACTATCAGTTTGAAAAATGAAAACTATTTCCCAACACTTTCAGTATTAATTTTTTAAACCATGCATTTAGGCCATGAGCGCTTTAATTATCTAACACTTAAATCCATCAAAGTATCCACGACAAACATTTTACAAACATACAGAATTGAGCTTTATATATTAGATGTCAACTTCTACTTCTGAGGTTAATCCATCTGCTGTTGGAAAATGACACAATTTTTCCTATAGGTTGAATATAATTTTACAGAAAATTAGTACTTGTACACTACTGTACAGTGTGCGCTAAATAAATTCTTATGTTCACCAACAAAATACCTATTCATCTGAATGAGATAGTTAACAGAATTTTCATGACAAAAGCTAACTAAAATCTATGAGAGACGCTTAAGTAAACAAATTAAACATTGCTGCATTTGGGAATGAGTATCTATTTGTTTCTATTTGAACTAAAAATGTAGGAAATGGAAATGATCTCTAATTATCGAGCTGTGACCAGCTTTCCAACACCAACAAATGCTGATTTAACATTTCAAGAAAATTTAGGATCTGCTGTTCTCTACTCCTACTGGTCTCAACGTGATTTAGAACGTACAGAAAAAACAACATTACTTCGAACTCATACATTTGATATACAGTCTGGTAGAGTAATTAGCTACACTGGTCCTCAAGAAATAAAAAATGAGTGAGTTTTTTACTTTCATATTTCTTTCTTTCTTTTATTTATCTTTATATTATAAATATAAAGCATATATATATATATATATATATATATATATATATATATATATATATATATATATATATAAACAAACACATATACATCCATACATGTATATATACACATATGCATACATACATATAAATACATTCATATATATACACTTGTAAAAAACAACTTTTAAATAATTTAAAATGCTGAAAAATTAATAAATTGGAGTTTACTTTTAATTTTTATTTAAATGCCATACAGAAATGCATTATTTTATACCCATTTTTGTATTTCCAATATATGTTAATTATCTGAGTTAAGTGTTAAAGTAGGGCAACAAACTATTAAAGCATGTTATAAATCAATGTACACATTTAGCTTACGTCAAGTAATTTTAGACTATTGAATGGAGATAGGGATAGAAATAAGGTTTATTACAGGTATGTGTAAAGGATAGGGATAGCTTTAGGGAAAATGAAAAGTGATAAGGAAATAAATTGGGAAATTGATAGGGATAACGTTAAGCTACTTCAACCAATATGTTGTGGGGTTTTTCTAGTTGAGTTTTTTGAGTTTTGTTGCAATAGTTCTTTCTCTATTTGTATTTTATTCCATAAATATGAACAAACACTAGCAGTCTTCAAAGATACAGACTATATATGTAACTAGGGTGAGATCAGACTTATTTCAGTGCACTCAATCATGACTTAAAGATAGGCTTTATTACATAACATTTATTGATGAATACTTATATAGCAATACTTCTTTTTACAATCAGAATTCACTATAAAGTATTTGCCTGGGATTAGTTCAGTGTTCACTTTAACAATCATCACTTCACTAATATTCCTATTCTACCCTGGTCTCCGTCAAATAAAAGTTGATTGCGGTTTGACACCGTTCATCCGATCGCCATCAAACTTTGAGGAGTGCCACCCTTGCGAAATTAAAAGAGATTTTTTTTTACAGAAACCTAACCTGGAGTACCAAAGACTTTTATATTTATATAACGGACATAGAGAAAAAACAAATTGCGCCCTGCTTGTGCGAATTTGAAAATTCTTTTTCCGCAGAAACCTCCCCAGGAGTATTCTCAACAATTTCCCAAAGTTTCCTTGTGATCTGATGAAGTGTAGTAATGCATAAAAGACAGACAAACAAATAAACAAACAAACACACATACATTGCTTTTAATATATATAGATTGTTTCATGAACTACTCAAACTTCTCGTTTGAGACTAACCAACCCCCAAAATCATTTAAAAGATTATTTTAATGGATGCTGAGGGAATCTTAATGTTCAGTAAAATAAGCTACACTAAATTAGTGTATTATTCTAATACACTTTTTGTTTGAAATTGTAAGTAGACTAATTCTATATTTTAGATTGTGGAACAAATTTTCACCATCAGGCAAACTACGAGCAGTTGTTCGAAATGAGATAGATCAAAAAAAGGAAGATAAACAATATCTTGAGGTAAATTGAATTAAAAAGCTAATGTATTAGCTCAGTTTAAAATCTTGCTTAAGTGTTGTTTTTTTAAACACTTTAATATTTTAAAAATCAAATGTATCATTGTGTAAATGTAACTGAAACTAATAGTTGGAGCAAAAGATGATAAATTTGTCATGATTTCAAACATGGAGTACATATTTTATAACATAATAATATTGTGATATGTCTTACAATTTCCTAATCTTTTTATAGTGATCAGAATAAAGTAAACCCATTTTAAATTATTGTTTTGTCAAAAAAAAAATACAGATATTTGACTGCTGCCGAAAACTTAAAACTATTGACATCTTAGCGGAAGAGAAACATGGCAAAATTGTCAACAATGATGGTAAAGAAACTTTTATGATAATATTCTCTTTGCGTGTGGTCACCTGTGGACATCAACATAAAACCTAAACAGAATGGCTGTATGGTCATTTTATACTCTCAGCACAATTAATATTTAAATTGACTTAAAACCTTTGTGGACCCTGGAGAGCAAAGGGCTGCTATCACACCTCTCCACCAGACTTGGTTTTGGGCAGCTCTCCTTATCTGAGCCCATGTAAGCCCAGCTGCCTTTGCCTTTTCTTCCATGATTTCCAAAACTTTCCTCACTGTATTATCTTCTTTCCCTTCCCATATTGGGCACAGTAAGTTGAAGGCACATCTGGCGTTGTTAATACAGCTTTTTATGTCCTTGTCTGCTCCCCCATCTTTATTGATCACACTTCCCAGATACATGAATTTGCTTGTTTTTCTTATATCTTCTCCTTTTAGCTATATGGGCAGTTCCTGGTTGTTATTGACTTATATTAGAAATTATGAATTCCACTACATCTATTACATTTTAATGCTTGCAGTAGAAATAAAAAAAAAACAACCCAAAACATTCTTAGTTTCCTTTAAGCATTTGTTTCTTTCCCAATAGTCTCTATTTGTATTGATATATAACAAAATTCTTAATTCTCTTTTCAGGTAATATTGAGATATAAAGGGTTAGTTTACAAGGGATCACATGCATATTTTATACTTTGGTGGGTAGGGAGGTGGTTATTTCCATTTTAAAATTCTTATTTTTGTTAACTTTTGTCATGTAGAATGGTGGGATAAATGTGCAGACAGAACTGGTTTACACAATCATCACCTCTTTTGGTATTAGAGAGAGGACCTTTTAAACTCAATATGACTTAATATATTGATTTATTGCTTACAGCTTAAGGACACATTGTAAAGTATCTGCACATAAGTAAATCCATGTTTAGACCTCCAGAAACAAAATAAGTGGATAATAAATTTGAAAGAAATTGAGAGAAACATAATATATAAATATAGTATATAAGTATTGTTAGAGAAAGGCAGATAACAAAATTAACATTACATTTTATAATCAAATTCTCATTTTATTCAGGACAATTTGGAAGTTTTGAATGGTCAGCATCAGAAAAGCAAATATTGTACTTAGCAGAGAAAAAGAAAGCTAAAACAAGTAATTTTTTTGGAAACAAAGTAACAAATACTAGTGAGAAACAAGGTAGTGACATGTCTAATACAGATTCGGATAAAATTAGACAGGTACTTGATGTTTATAAAAAAAAAAAATGAATACATTTAAAAACTGTGTATTTGTATAAAACCATGTTTCAATTATTTGACTATTCATTTTCTTGTATAGGGTGATGGGTTTGCTTACATAGAAAATTGGGGTGAACAGCTGACTGAACGTGTGTGCCCTGTTATATGTATACTGGATATTGACAGTATCTCTGTGAAAATTATTGAGATTTTGCCCTTTCAGTCACCAGGACAGGTGAGTGCACAGTTTTTTTTAAATCTTTTTGGTTTTATTACATCATAGTTATTTCTGCTCAGATATGTTAGTAAATTTAATGGGATATTGATGGGCTGGTTTTTCAATGAAAATTTTTTTGTACTGGCCTACTGTATTTTTAACAGATTTAATTTTAATTTTTAAATTAGAGCTTTTTTCTTTTTATTTATGACCTTTTTATTTTGAGTATTTTAAATTGTAAATATAATTTACAAAAGAAGTTAAAGAAGTAAACATATAATTTGTGTTACATGAAATTAATTACCTTCTGTAATTGTAAAAAAAAGTTCAGCTATAGGATGCCACTAACAATAGCTTGTAATAAAATGGCTAAACCCTATCATTTTGTTGAGGTAAAACACATAGGGGTGGTTTATCGTTTGTTGTGCCACATTATTTATAAATAATCTCTTGTCTTTTCTTAGTTTCCTTCCGCTGTTGTGTTTTTGCTTAATTTAGTTAGATCTTTTGGCTGTTTCTTTCTTACACATCTTCAATAGTAGCTTAGTTGAATATTTACCAGGTGTTTTTTACTGAATTAAAATATTTTTCTTCTGTTTGAGGAGCTTATTTTATGGTGATCTGAAAGTTTTTAAGCTATCTTGTGACTGGAGTTTACTGGCATCAAACCTTTTTCCTATGACCACTTCTTGCTGATAGCTTCATCTTCAATTTAGTCGGCTTTTTGCTTAGTTCTCACATTTTCATGTTAGGTCTTCATGTTAGGTCTTCCAGCAACACAGTGCCATAACATGATCAATCTGGTTTTCTGTATGATGATCTGGCGATGTCCAGGTGGTAATGTTTAGGTTAACCTGTCACCCCCTCCTGTGACATAAGCAGCTAACAAGAGCTTTCCAGTCATCTCTGTCTGGGCTAGTCTCTCCAACTGTCTCTATCTTGGTGTCTTCTTCCAGGTCACATTTTTAGGTCTTCCTTGGTTGGCCTCTTTACCTTCTGCCGCTGTGGATTCCAAGGTCTTGTTGTGCTGGTAACAGGCTTCTTGAGTGTGTGGCCATTTCTCTGATGGACCTCTTCTTCAGCAGGTAGTTGGTTTGTCCGATGCCACAGTACCTCATTTCTTTTGGTGTTAGGATTTTCTTGAGGCATGACTTTATAATTGATTGAATTTCCCTCCATTTGTGGCAGTTATTCTCCATGTCTCTGCCCCTCTGTGTATGTTTAGGCCCAGGCATTTAGAAAATTAGCAACACTTTTAGTTTTTTATCTTGCAAATACTGTAGTGTGTGAGAAAGTCCAGGTCATCCAGCTGGTTCCAGAGTGTCCACTATATACTGTTTTGTTTTTTCTCTGTTGACATCTATATAGTCAAGTCAATGGCCAGCAGGAACAAGAATGTTAAAAGTAGGCAACCGTACATTATTCCAGTCATTACAGGGAAGGCCTTTTGGTCATGCACTACCCTACATTTTAGACCACCATATGAGGATGTAATGATGTAGACTATTTTCTGTGGCACCCAATAGTGCTATTGATTGTATCTGGATTATCAAAGGCTTTCTAGTTATCTATTAAATGAATGTAAAAAGAAGAGTTCCACTCTTGAGTCTGTTCAATTATGATCCACAGGGTATCAATTTGATCTATGCAAGATCTTTTTTTCTTAAAGCTCAACAGTTGATCTAAATGATGGATGTTTACTGCTTCCTTCATCCTGTTTTATAATATTCTGTTAAAGACTTTGCCTTTCTTTGGAGCTTTATGAGTAGTACCCCCTTCCAATCCTCTGGTATTTTTTTATCTTCCCACATTTTCTTGAAGAGTGTGTGAAGTGCTTGTTTCAACATCAGCTGTCTGTATACCATCTATTCCTGGATTCTTCCAATTTTCCAACTGCTTTATGTAGCTCTTCTTTTGAAGGTGGGTTACAGTCTTTAGGCAAATTACTTTCAGCAGGTGGTATATCCTCCGTTCACTGTGGTTCTATTCAGTAATTCTTCAAAATGTTCTGCCCATCTCTTCCTCTGTCCTTCAGCATCAGGTATTTCCTTTTCATCTTTGGTCTTCACTGGCCTCTCTGGCTAATTGAACTTCTCAAACTTCTTAATTGTATTGTTAAAGTCCCAAGTATTGAGGATATTGCATCCAAATAGACAATGAAGGTGTAAAATCAATAAACTAAGAAAAAGCAAAAACTAAGGCAATTTTCCCAAAATTGACATTTGTCCGAATTCGACAAAGACCCAAATGAACAATTGCCGAAACGGGACAAATTTCCAAATGGACACTTGCCTGAATTGGACTTATGCCCATAAGCCACTGGTCCGAAGGCCTTTTGCCTGAAAAAGGTTTAATATTTTATATTACCTAATATTTTATATTATAAATTACCAAGTAGACATACTTAATAAATTTGCATTTGCATTATAACAAGTGTAAAAACTTTTTTCAATGAAACAAAAACAAATACCTTACTATCTCAGATTTTTATAAAATGAATCTCAATTACTTTATTACTATTATTACTTAACTACTACTAATGTGTTTTTCACATTGGGGCAAGTGTCTATTTGGATAATGGCTTTCGGGCAAATTGTAATTGTTGTTTTGGAAAATGTCTGGTTCCCATGTAAATGTAGGTATTTTGTTCAAACAATTTATAATGGCCTAAAGAAGTTTTGAATAATTGTTAAATAATATAAAAATTACAATTATTACATTTTCAACATTGAACAAAATCAGACTACCATAATGGACATATTACAATATTAAAAGCATTGGATAGTTGTATCTATGACTAAGCATATTTATTATTTTCTGTTTCATTTTCAAACAAATGTTAATTTGGACATGAGTTCAGATCATTACTCTTTAAAATGATAATAACACATTTACTTAACCACTTCTTCCTCCCTCTCTTCTAACATCGTCACTAAGTTAAATCCCCTTCTCTCCAGGTCTATGATGTTAGTTATGGTCTTCTTTGGGAGAAATTTTTATTATAGTGTAACACTGCTTCAGTAGGGATGATATTACCCACTGAGGTGTTGTGTTTAAAAGGGCTGACCCTGAGAGAAAATGACACTGTTGTTGTTAGACACTGGCTTTATTTGCAAATCCTTATACAGCTAGTCATTAACATCCAAGCCATAAACGACTATGTAGAACAGTAGCCCTAAAACAAATGTAAACAATAGATTACATCACTGAAGATACTACCATGTATAGGCTACACAAATACACGGGTGTAATAAAATAGGTTACGGCCAGTACACAATACTGCCAACAAGTATAAGTATTATAATAATAATTACTTAACCTAACTTGTCCGCAACATGCAGCACTAACTGGAAAAATACAAATAAGTAATCAAGCTAAGATACTTTATACCTAGTCTGCAACATGCAGCACTTGTAGGAATAGTACAGTAATATAAAACATAATTTACATTACCTTCACTAGGTCTACCTGACCAACTTAACATAGGCAACGGCACCGTCCAAACACCCAGAGTCCCAGAGGTCACATGACATGGAACACGGGGACGAACATCGCTCACCGAAGAGCATTAAAAAATACATCAACAGTTGCGGTCCCACAGGGGCTGCAACCAAATAAATTATAACTTATAATTTATCCCCCTTGACTGGTAACCATGATATGTGTTACAACAGTGAGGACTTGGATTCACAGAATTCGTGCGATCATTAAGACCTAAAAATCGCATAATTCTGGCACTTTAAATTTAAAGGTTATTTTAATCTTGAATATTTATCTAATCACAAATGAGAAATAAGCGTAATAAATGTATAATAAAATTATTTCTTTAGCTTTGAAAGTATGCATCATCTTCAATTTTGTTTCTACAAAAAGAAATTTAATTGCCCAAATGGAATCAATATTTATGCTTAAGTGTTGTAGATTAATATGCCATTCAAAAAGACACCAAATTATCTCTGCAGGTAATTTGGGCACCACTGGACTCTGGTATTGTATTTTGTGCTTGGAAACATGAACCTTACAAGCTGGGTCTAAAATTTTGCTGTCAAAGAGAGTAAGTCCCTCGAAACAAATTTTAAAAGTATTTAAAAGTTATGTAACAAAGAGAAATTTCCTGCAGTATTTTAAAGCACTCCTTACAATCTAGAATTATTAACTCATTTCCTAAAAAATTATACATCTGAAAATAGTTTCTACTAGCAGTTAGACAGATCAAAATTGAAGTTGGAATGACATATCAAGATTTCATCTATATGGTAAACATTACACAACTGTGTAAATTTTATGCAGAACCTCCTATGCTTGCAATGGTTCTTGTATGGCATGTTGAAAGTGAAGTTTGAGAGTAAAAAGATTAAAATATTGTACTCTCTTTGATTCAGTCTTCACATACTAGATGAAGGAAAATATATTGAAAATTAATCGTATTCAAGGTACTAATTTTTTAAAAACTTTTTGAAATTAAAGATGGGTTATGATTTAATTGTGTTATATATCATCACTAGTGACACTAGCCGTCCCGGCCAGGCCCTGCACTGGTCTCTGTGAAAAACCCATCTGTAAAGGACTTTGACTTGTGTGTTTATTAAGCAGCTTATGCCCAGCATTGCCCGGCTTTAGGAAATATATTTTTCTTTTCGAATTAACCCTAGCCACAACCAACCAAAACCAAAAAACAAAACACAAACACAAAGAAAACACAAATGAAAACACAAACAAAAACACAAACCCAACCACAAACACAAAGGAAACACAAACACAAAGAAAACACACAAAAAAAGCAAACACAAATGTAAACAAAAACACAAATGAAAACATAAACTCAAACACAAATAGAAACACAAATGCAAACCTAAACGCAAACAATAACTCATAATAATGCAAAAGTAAACGCAAATATAAGCACAAACTTAAATGCAAACATAAACGCATATTGCTCACAGTCTAGTCCAGGGCTCCAAATTGCACCCTTCCGGGGCACCGCGGAACCACCTGATTCAACTTAGTAAATGACTATAATACACCAACTTATCCATAGTCTTTTGCACACACTTAAATGAACGTAGGGGCCATAGCGCTCTTAGGAAGGCCCAGGGTGCCAAATAGCACTCATTTGGGGCGCGAGAGGATGCCCTGGATTCGATTTAGTGAAGGTTTTTAGTAACCCTTCTTATCCAAAGTCTATCCCACTTTATAAAACAAACGTGTGCACTACAGCCCTCACAGGATAGACCAGGGTACCTAATCTAACCCTGCAAGGGCGCCGCCGGACTTGCCTGATTCAATTTATAATACGCCCAGCTTGTCCGCAAACTGAAAGATAGAAGTAAACATATAGGACATTTAGGAGCTGCTAGTAAGCTACTATTGATTAAATATAATAATTAGTAAACTGTACGTTCAGTGTATAAAATAAACTAACAGCAGTATTTAAAATAACTGTGTTTTACCTATCACAGTGCACTTTATCAATTTATATAATTATTATTTTCTCCAACAAACTAATGAAAGTAATTTTCCCCCGATGTAATGTTTTTTTTTAAATGGCGATCAAGTCAAGTTTTTTACTCTATGCATGTCTGTCCATTTTAACTTTATATATTAGTTTGGTGTATTTGTAGGTCTATATTGATTTTGCACATAATCCACTTCAGTTTTTCACTATTAGCAGGATACCCAGTGTCAACGAGCAACAATTTTGTTTGCAATGTTCTTTAAAAATATTTAAAATTTGATAAGACTCATTTAGGACAACTTTTAAAATTTTAAATAATGTATTAAAATTTTTTGATATATGGGAATACTAGTCTTAGCTAAAACTTGAAATAGAATGAAACATTTTACCTGGGGGGGGGGATGTGGTTTTAACTAGTTGTTTTTACTTCAGTATTAATTTTTTTTCTTTCGCAGGTGTTATTTGTATTATCAGGATATTGAGCAAGGATCTGCTGGTAAATAAGTGTAATAGGTTTGAAAAGCTGGTTCCAAAATTTTGTTTCCAGAAAGCATATTTTTCATCTAAAATTGAATATTTTATAACATTTGTGTAATAAGTACAAAATGACTTCTGTTTCCATTAATGCTAGAAATAGTCAAATGCTATACACCATAGACCACTATTGTGTATTTTATCATGGAAAGCAATTGTTGTGACCATGATTGTTTTACTCTCCCTGACCAGTCAGGTTGACTTCAAGGAAAGGTTGAGGGAGTTTTTAAAAAAAATATTTGAATTGATAAAATATTTCTAAACTGCTTTTCAGCAGCTAATATTCAATACAAAAATATGAAAATGAGTAATCAATGGTTCCCAAACAGCATTAATTTTTAAAAATGTAAATAATTTTATTGCTTGCCATATTTTTAAAACGATTTTTTTTAAATAAGTATAATTACATAAACTTTTTGAACATTTTGTTGTTTGATTATTACCTTTTTTTGATTCATTACTTTTAATGTATTTAAAAATAACTTTAGTTAAAAAAGCCGGAATGCATCTTCACTTTTATCACAAATATAAAATTGGTAATTTTTTTTCTGAAATCTAGAAGTTTTAAGTGAGAAGGACTATGCTGTTCGTTTCCCCCGTTTTAGTCCAGATATGAGAAAATTAATTTATCTTGATGTACCTGTTGGAGGAGCTCACAATCAATGTGCAAGACTTATCATGGTATATTTTTGTAGCAATTCTTCCATCTTGTCTGCATCTAAATTTAAATCCTCAACTTTTACAAACACTTCATTTATAAGATGTATTCAAATTTATGAGTTAACATTACTGTAACTTTTAAAAATTTTTAATTTTAAGATTGATTGGGCTACCCGAACTAGGAAAGTTGTTGTTGATACAGTTGGAAATGCCATAGGTATTTGTGAAGATTTTTCCCCAGTCATATTTATTAAATCTCTAGTTAGTCATGTTATGTAATTAAGTTATAGGTTTGCTGTATTATTTTCCATTAGCCATTATATAAGAATCTCTAATATTGATCTCAACAGTGTTTCAGTCTCAAGACTTAAGGTTAATGTTAAAGTCAAAAGTTTAGTTATCTTGGACAATATGTTTAATATTCACCCATTTTCATTTTAAATGTCTACCCTCGGCATAATATTTGGCCTCATGTATTGGGCCTTTTATATATGCCTCATCAACCCAGTTTGGGCATAAAACACACATCTACATAAGACTTAAATATTTATAGTTGTGGCCTGTTAAAAATTAGTACCAAGTACATCATGAGTGGAAAACACAATGTGAAATTTGAATGAATATAAATAAAACTTTAACTTAAACATTCAACAATTAGCATATGACTGCTAAAATGATGGCTGAGTCAATTTTGGGCTGTTAAAAGCTTAACTGTTCTGAAACATCTTAGTCATTCAAGGACAGTGGTAGAAATATCACAAGCAGCACATTCTCTAACTTGATTGCTGTTCAGTCAAATGATTAATGCCCTAAACCACTTATAATTTGATAAGTAGGAAACAAGAATAAAGAGAAAATTTCAATTAGTTCTTTGATAGAACCTGGAGATATTTGCTTAGTTTACAGATATAACCACACAATTGAATCACCACATTTTATTTAAAAAATGTTCTTTTTACAAAACTAAACTTGATAAGCATGGCATCAAGATCTGAATGGGCATGTGACACAGACATGTCTTATGTTTACAAAAGAGCCCTTTCAGAAATAAATGGTAGGCAAAGATCTATAGCATTAAAAAACTGAGTGCTCTTGCTAACCACAAGCATCTTTATTGCCACACCACAGTTAAGTAGGTTGTAAGACATTCCCTGATGAAGCAATTTATTGCATGCATACTTAAAGAATGTGCTCTTTGGTCACAAAAATAGTACATACAAAATACTTGAGAAAATAGAAACAGTTTGAGCATTAGAAGTCTCCTATAAATGTCACACTAGTTAAGCATCTTTTGGTTCCAATATCATTACATAAGGCAGGATGCCACCACTAAAATAGTGATGTCACAAAGTTCTACTTTCCCCACCCTTCATCACATATAATAATTTCAACATTGTTATGTCACATTCCTTGAGAACATGTACCCATCCTCATCACTCATTGTCAGAGCAGTCAGTAAAAACTGCTCTCCTTGGTAGTGACTGCATCAATGGATAACCCATTCATTGCCAATATTATGTTCATGTCTGCTATCTGGAGCTAGAGCCCTTGATGACTTGGCAACTTGTGTATGCCGAAGACCCCCAAGCAGAGATCTGCATGGGTAGGAGTCATACAAAAACTAGCATCTTGATCCTCCAGGTTGGGGGTTGAACATAAGGCCAGTAACCTTATAATAAAAAAAAAAAAGAACCGCTACAGAAACAAAAACAAAATGAAATAAAACTTTTAAAACCGACGAATGGGGAGCCTTTATCAGTAGCTTTTGACTTGTGTGTCACAGCTTTCATCCCATCTGCCATAATTTGGAGAATTTCTCCCCATTCACTGGTTTTATAACCCCAGACTACCTTTGGGACTGCCAAGAAAATAGCTGGCAAAAGTGAAAAGAGCTTTCTGTGGTGGGCCCCATGTGTCTTGGGCACGAAAGGGAAAAGATGATAATGGTTATGTACACAATAGACACATTCTGTTGTATATATCTATGCTTTTTATTGTTTTTGAATATGCCAAAACTGTATACAGTGTTTGTTTCTTCCAGACTTTTTTCCCTTGGAGGGGGGTGGGGGTAGACTTGATATTTCAGAATTTCCAAAGACTGTATAAAGGTGGATTCCACCTATGATGTACACCAAGGCTAATAAAACAACACATTGTGATGGTTATATGTAACTGTGCATCAAAAAGAATTTTTTAGCGCAATTTCCATTCTGGAGAATTGCGTTTATTAACTCGTCATTTCTGGGAATGGATGGATGGATGGATGAATGTGTGTCCGGGCTTTAAGTCGTATCTCCTCCTCAACGAAGCAATATCGATGAATAGTTCCAAAAGCAATTATGTTAAGCAAGTTACGAGAATGAGCATAGGCCATAAAAATTCCGGGTTTCTTTCATGTATTTCCCGGAAAAGCCAAAAAACCTCGAAAAAATGCAGTTTTTGGCCCATATCTCGGCAACCAGACCACTTAGCGACTTGAAACATGTACCAATCGATTCCTGTCATAATTTAGAACAATATTGCCGAAGAAAGTTTTCAAAAATATTCTCTCGTTCGGTCACAAATTTTAAAATTACATAAACACCTACAAACCGATTGTTCTTCTAGCTTGAACGCACCCGAACATTATACGTCAGAGCTATTTTTAGATAACATAAGGAAATTGCGCACAAATGTCACTAGACTTTTTTAATTAACTTGTTTCTAATTAATGTCATACCTGATTCAAAAGAATTGAACTTCTAATTAACTATGCATGACTTGAAGAAATGACTTAATTCTTTTTCAGCTTCCAAGTTTCCAGGTATATATACATATAACTTGGAAAGATATGTATGGTTTAGTGATAATGTCCATCTTGCATTGTCCAGCAATTGGAGAAGTGTAAATGTGAGTTTTTAATACAGAAGAAATAATGTATTTTCCTTGTCTTTTATTAGATCTTGTTTTTTTTGTTATAAAGATAAAAGTAAGTACAGGTGTACAAAGCATATTGCTTATCTAATGCAGAGTTTACAATCAGATTACTAATGCAATGAAAGTAATTTTTGCTTTAATTGATAAGATTTTTAACCTAATATTTGCTGTTACACAGTATATCTAAAATGGTATGTGAAATATTTTTTCCTCTAAATAGGCTATTTTAATTGTGAACACAGACACTGGGGCCATTCAGCATATCAGTAATGGTATAGACAATGAAAGCAAAACAGGTGTTTATATCATGTTTTTAAATATACTATTTTTACATGATATTTCTCTTTTAACTTTAATCATTTTAATCTTTTAATATTCTGTTAGAGAATACTATCTAGTCAAATAATTTTACAGCTCAAGTTGATGGCTCATTTGAATTGTTATGTGTCAAGAAGAATGTGCTTGTGCTTGTTTATTCAGCACTTAATCTGCCATTTCATTTAGTAAGTTGTTAATACATTTTTCTTTCTCTTGCATAATCAGAGATTTAATACGTTATTCCCTTAAAAATTTCAGTCGGAAGTTTTAAAAAATGGTAAAGTTTTACTTAAACTATCAAGATTTAATAGAATGTATGTATATTAGCACCTTAGTAATGAGTTTTTGTTCTGCTAAAACTATTTTATTTAGCTGATCATTTGGATCTAAAAAAAAAAATCCTTTATTGTTACTAATGTTATGTAGCTCATTGGAATTGGAATTTTCAAAAAATTGTTATTCTAATTGTATCAATTATCACCATATATTTTAAATCAGGTGATTGCCAATGTATCAGACCCAAGTAACATTAAGAACATTTTATGGATTTACCCAGATGGCCCACAAGAAACTTTGGATTGGTTGTCATTTACCATCCTAACCCATAAACCATCTAAGGAGAGAACACACCCAAAGTTTGGTAGGCTTACAACAGTTTTTTGTAAACAAAATTTTTTAATAAATAGTTATGAATCACATGTATTTCAAATTACCAAATTTATTTAGAAGGCGATAAAAATATTGATGGCCCCATTTATATTTACAGCAATAAATATATTTTCATTTAATCATCAAATATTTTTCCTTTATCTCTCCCAGTAAAAGGTTACAATATTTTAACAGTATAGACTATACTAAAAAACTTAATGAATTTACAATATTTTTCAGAGTGTTTAGATTATGAAAGCATCCTGTGTCTCCCTAATAAAAGAGTTGATGGAGAATTACCTCCTTTGATTGTATTTTCACATGGTAAAAAGGACTATTAATAGAAAATTGCTCTTTTAAACAAAAACATGAGCTTATGACACTGTATGTTAAGGATAAAGTAGTACCTCATAGAATGAACACAGCTGTCTAAGCAGCCCTTTATGAAATGTAAATTCTATGATACACAATGTCCTATTAACTTTAAGTGGAAATAGTTTAATATATTTTAACACTGGATAAGATTTGTTAAAATTTGTAAAACATACATTAAGATAATGACTTATGCAAGGCATGTAAGAAATCATGCTGCTGAGGTTTTCCTGGGAGGTGAGGGATATAGATACACAAATTTAACATAACACACTATGAACAATTATTGCTTGAGTCAGGGCAGGACTCCATAGGACTAGTCTTGATTGGGAGAACTGTTCAAGGCAGATTGTTTATTCCTCTTCTTTTTTAAAGAATGTATTTAATTTCAAAAACACTTTCACAGTTTTTGACAAACCAAATGAGACAGATTCTGACATTAGCATTCATTGTTGCATTTCGTCTAAGGTACATTCTATGAGGTGCCACTTATATAGATCTTTTTTCTGCATTTAACTCATGTATTGTGTATTTTATTCAAGGTGGGTATCAATGCACAGGTGTTAACTGGATGAATTATAAACTTGAGATATTTTATTTGTCAAAATTTGCCTGATATACTGTAGTTTTAAACATTTACAGGTGGACCCAACTCTGTGTTTGATACGTCATTTAACATAATCACAGCATTCTTTTGTAAATGTGGATATGCTGTTGTTATGGGTAAGGAAAAAATCTAACTTAACATTTTTTTTTTGTCTAATCTGTATAATACTGATATATTTTTAGAAAATCTAATCTATTAAAACCCTTGCCATGAAAATGTTTAGTAAGTCCCCAGACTCAAAACTTTAAATTAAAATTATATGTTGTTGTTGTTGTTGGTAAGGTTTAGAGTGTGTCTATATGACACACTCACATATATATATATATATATATATATATATATATATATATATATATATATATATATATATATAAATGCACATGTAAATGCACATGTAAAATCTGGAAACATTCTTGAATTTAGAAAAGTCTGGAAAATTGCTAGTTTTTAAACGTCTGCAATCTAGTTTTATAAACAAAACTTGTCCACGAAGTCCATATTTTCCGACTAACAAAAGTATTCTTTAGTGAATTTACTCCAATTTGCCGAAGTCACAGGTCACAGAAACAAGTAAACTCTACTTCACTCGCCCTATACCCATCAGGTTTGGGAGAAGAACTTTACTTTACTTTTAGTCAGAAGTTGCAGGCAATCCTAAAAAATATTAGAGAGGTGGGTTGGGGTAAAATTCGGCATGACGTCATTTATGTACGACCTCTAGACTGCGCCTTATATATAACTGTACTAACGTGGTTCTTCATAGGATTATCTAGCGGGGATGTAACTTTTCCACTTAAACGGAACTCTGCTTATTCCTTTAAAAAAAACGTCTGAAAGCTTTTGCACTTTCTCTTTTGAATGAAGCATGAAACAGAAATGTAATTATATTACTTTTACCTCAAACATTTTTCAGTGTCGCCCTGACCCTGAGGCTTACTATGCCAGTTGGTGCTAGCACATTCCACAAGCTCTTTGATTTAAATATCTCACTTTAACATGGTTATTTTGCCTTTTTTACTAGATCTAGATAAAAAAAAACACTTGATCTACGTCTTAATTTTTGACAAAAAATGCTGATTTTGTTTTACTATTATGTATCATATGGTCTTTAAACTTATGTAAAAAAATAACCTTGAAAAACCTTAATTTTTTTTGTGCTGCCGTAACTGAAGTCTTACGTTTGTTTTTAAGAGCATCCTATAGTATTGACACGATGACACGAAAAATTAATGTTAAAATAGAGCCAGGGGACCGTAAGCATCGCCCCTGCGGTAGTGTAACGGGGGGCTCCCTAGACCACCACGCTACGCCCCTCATACCAGGGTGGACGCCAAAATGTTCTACCTGCCCCGACAAACATGATCCACGAAATCTAGTGCATGCATTTAAATAACCGAGTTCTAGAAAACAAGGTCACAGTGCTAAGCATTTAGGATTGGTAATGTATTGCGTCAGGCTTCCTCATGTGACCGCAGCAACGCGCCGGGCGAGCACGCTACTGCATTGTAATTGAGCATAATAAATTAGTTCAATTAATAAAAAAAGTTACATACATTTTTAAAATCACATAATTAATTTGAATTTTTAATCAGGAGCATACTTCATGAAGGAACACATAATGTAAAAATGTGTTTGTGATTTAAAAAATTTTTTTTAATTGAATGTTAATTATTGAATAATTTTAATCAACAAGATTATAATTAAAAACAAAATATCTATTACAGTTAACTATCGTGGCTCACTTGGATTTGGACAAGACAGTATCAACTCTCTAATTGGCAACATTGGCACTCAAGATGTTCAAGATGTCAAGGTTAACATTGATTAAATGTTATTTAAACTTAAAAGTTCATAGATTGTCTATTGCAAACCCTGAAAGTCTTAAGTTCGGATCCAGGACTTGAGTCTGTAGAATGTGCTTAAGCCCACCCATCTCTGACAGGTACTTGACTCAGGTTAGGGAAACAAATGCTGCTGAGCATAGTGCTGACTGCACTATTCCTCATATTCTGATGTCATTGAAACAGATGAACTCTACTTCATCTGCCCCATGCGTCTTGGGCACAAATGGAAAAAAATGATGATGATGCGTGAGCAACATTGGCACTTAAGATGTAAAGTTTATTAATGTTATTTAAAATTACAAATAAATTGATTATCTAGTTATGGTGATTACAAAATGGGGTGGGGCGGATTTTTTGCTCCAATGTTATTGTTAGTTTTAAAAAAATTTGTAGTACTTTTGGGGTAAATAATATAGAAACAATAATTTTTGTAAATTTAAGAAATTGTTCTTCAAATACTGTTTATGACTAGAGAAAAAATATATTAATTAATTATTTCTGTGTTTGTTTAGACTCCTAAATAATAAAAAATACCTTTATTATTTTTTACAGTATTTAGTTTCTTCCATAAAATGTAGCTGTAATTTTATCCCTCTTGGATATGTGCACACATTATCAACCTTTCTTCTCTTCTTCTATGTGATAAATTTTTAAAAAATCAATATTTTTGTCTCATAAAATTATATATTTTTTAATCACTGATAGATGTTAAAATTAGTTCTTAATTTTTTTCTTCTGTATACTGTACACAGCAAGCATTAGAAGACGTTATAGAAAAAGGAGTGTCAAGTAACCAGAAAATCTTTAAATTTGGTGGTTCCCATGGTGGATTTATCACAACACACTTCATTGGACAGTATCCAGTAAGAACTCAACTTATCTTTTAATTAAAACGTTTGAGTGCTAGATTATATGCTTTGTATAATAATAGCAACATTTTCTATTCATCACTTAATTAAACAGTTGATAATGTTATTCAACAATCTTGTTATGTTGAATAAATAATTTATCTAATTTATAAATGTGACCGGGTTAATGCTTTTTTGTATGTTTATTATTTTATTTTGTGTGCGAATCTGTGTGTGAACATTGTAGTGGATGTAGGCTACGTGCATCTGGTCTAGGTGGCCATATATGTCTGAGTGACCACTAGGGTCGTTCTTTTCACCCTACTACCAGTCGATATTGTAGATCTTGGGGATTGGCTTTGATGCGGGTGCTTCATGCACCACGCGTGTATGAGTACTTGGCTGGGTGTTTGTTAAGCTTGTTTGTTTGATTTGTGAGTTAGGTTTGGTTGGTGTGTTTTGTTTGTTTGGTATTTTGTTTGTTTAGTGGTTGATAGTGTAGGTCCAGCTTTAATAGTAGTGAATTTAGTCATTTTTTGTTATATAATTGAATGGTTCCATTTTTTTGTAAATAAAATTGGTAAGTTGATTTATTTTTTTTAAATTTTTTCTAGATTAAGGTTAGGGTTTAATCACTGTGGGTTTAGCCACAGCTACACTGATGCCCCAATAGTTGATTAACCTGGGGGTAGATTTAGAGAATTAGGGTTTAGAACAAATGAGTATTATAATACAACACTTAGAAGATAGCATGTTAAATAGCGAAAACAAAAAAGGCCGTGCCTTGCAATACTTGCATGTAATGTCTTATTACAATTCATTGATTGGGGTCCATTATGGATGGCCTTAGTTTGTTTAGTGTATTGTCTTAGGTTCTATGTGATTGCATATTTGACAAATAAACATAAAGAAAGTACTGCATACAGGAACATTGTTAAAACATTTAAAACAGCTCAAAGTCAAAATTTTAATACTAGGGGAGCTAATTTAAAAGAAATGAACTATATACTTTTGGCCATTGATCTTATACATAAGCAAATCAATGTTAAATGAAATCAGTTAAAAAATAAGTTAATATGTGAGAAAGTATTGTTTAATGTGTTACTACTGAAAAGATAGCATGGGTCATGTAGTTAGTGCAATGAAGTGTGGTTATTCAACATTTTACTCTATGTATTGTGTGATGCAGTGAGTCGTGTTTGTGTGTACAGTGATGTGTATTGTATGAGTTCCAGGAAGTGGTGGATAGGTGTAGTGGGAGAGGTGAGGTTTGTGGGTTATGCTGTGTGAGACATTGAAATGTGGGCCATGGGGTGTGTATTTAAGATGAGTGTAAGGTATAGAGTAGGGTGTGTTTTGGTGTGAATCACTGTGTGAGGCTAGGTATATGTTGTGGTATTGCAGTTGGGGTGGTGTAGGTACGTGATTTGACTTGGTAAGATGTGTGTTTTGTGTTGTCATGCGGGTTGTGGTGGCATTTGTTATTTATCCTTTTGTGTTTCACTTCCCTTATCTGTATATGTGAAATTTAAACTAATTTAAACTTAATTCCTACAATAACATTTAAATGAAGTTTGATGAGAATTGGTAAAAAAAACATGGCAAAACAATAATGAAGTATGCCGGCCATGTAAATCTAGCAGACAGAGCTTGTTATGGACAATGGTCTAGCTTGATGAAACAAATGACACTAGCTAGTGGTGAGAATGACATTACCAAAGGAACTCATGTTTTACATGGTAGCCATGTAACAATAAAATATTTTTATGCTGAACCTGGGATAAAAAAATGTAGTTCTTAATTATTTATTTTTAAACCTTTGTAAGAAAAACAGTACATTTCAAAATCCTCCAAGATAACCTATTACATTCAATTTACATATTTCTAATATTAATCTAATAAATTAATAAATATTACATGTGATGTAATCTATCCATGCATTTCATTGGCCCCTTAGTCTCAAAAAACAATTGGAAATCAAAGCAGTGGTTGAGAAGAGCCACACAGCTGATAGGAAACCAAAGTTGGTGATCCAATCTCCCAAGGAACTCTACTCCTGTTTGATTAAGTTAGAGTTTGCTCTCCTAGATGAGTAGCTGTTACTAGATCTAGCTAGCATGCCTCATCTGCACTGGGGTTTTTGATTAGCTTTCCACCCAACAATGCAGAACTGCCATGTATGTGAATCATTGTACTAATAAATACAGTGTTCTCAACCTTTCAACTAAAGAGTGTTGCTAAATTTTCAACTTGTAATTATTCCCTAGTGATAAGTATCTTAGTAAAATCTGATTTATGATGACAAAGATGAAACATAAATTCTTATGTTTTTCTCAGAATACATTTATGGCAGCTGCATCTAGAAATCCTGTTGTTAATCTTACATGTAAGTAATTAGACGTGTGATGTTTTTAGTCAACTGAATGATGGACAACTGAACAATGAAAAAGTCTATTTTTTAAAAGCGTTTTCCATTTTTTAACATGTTATGCTACTGCTCTTTTCTATGCTTCATCAACTCTCTCTCTCTCTCTTTTTTTTTGGTGTGCTTAGAAGAGTATTACCTTACTTAGTGACTCAGGTTCCTGAGCGAACTATAAATTCAAGCCATTAATGCTTCGGCATATATAGTTTTCATTTTGCTGCTACAATATGTAAAAATTAGTCCACGTAGGCCTATGTATCAATTATTTTTAACATTGGCTGTGTATAATTTCAGCTTTTAATTTTTCTCAATCCCTTTTTGGCGTCAGCACCCATGGTGGCGCCTGAATCGTAACACTATGACAATATGAGTCAAAGATATGAGATGGGGTCTTGAACTTTAACTTGGGGATGAACTTTAACTTGGGGATTTACCTATTCCTTAATAGTTATTTCATTAATTACTAATTAATTATTAATCAGAACCACAGTTTCGAAAAAAAAAAATTTGGGTCTATTGCTCTGAAAATGATTTTCAACACTAAAAACAGCATTAAAATTGCTAAAAGATTCAACTCATGGTTTTACACTAAAGTCTCGGTCTCTATTGCTTATAGTTTGAAATCTGGTTAGCCAGGTATAGATATAAATTTTCGAACTAAAATGATTTTGTGAACATGATCTCCATTGTTAACAAAAACATGATGGCTATTTGTTTCTAGGCCTCGTTTAAGATTTTAAAATACTAAGAGTACCTAAAATGCTACAGTTATAAAAATTGTACTAATAATAGAATCAAATAAAGCACTGAAAGGCCTAGGCTATCAATATTTCAACTAAGTTACTGGAAGCCTGTTTGGTTGATTGTAGTCTTCTGCATGATCCAGTCGACTACCATTAAGAAAATCATTGGCGATAGCATACATCCCTGTCTCACTCATGTTTTTTATTGTGAGGGGGTTTGTTAGTTTTCCTTTGTGCATTACCTGACAAATGGAGTCTTCATATTATTTCTGGGAGCTATGCGATATTGACTCATTTATTTATATTTAATCAAAATATTTATATTTGGTTTGAAAAATACTAGTTGGCAAATACAAGAACTAGAAGTTGGTGACCTCCTAACATGCTCTATTATTATCAAAATTATAAGATATTGAAAATATTCATTGTTATTACATAAATTGAATTATGTTTTTTAATCCAAGTTTAACTTTTTAGTTATCTCTATTTAAAGTGAGCTACTCTGTTAGTAGAAAGATAACTATTTACTTGATGATTGTTTTGCAGCTATGTTGTCAGCTACAGACATCAATGATTGGTAAGGAATAAATTAGGCATAAGCAAATATATCTTCAAAATTAACTGATAAGCCTATATAAATATTTTACTTTATTTAAATGAACAATTCTATACAAAGTATAGAGGAAGTATTGTAATCGTGAAAAAGATCAAAATCGAGATTTTCACAAATCTCGACGTTTTACACCTCCTTGAGTTTTGCAATTTTGTCCGTATGTCTGTGTGTGTGTGCATGTGTATGTCTGTGAACACGATAACTTGAGTACCTTTACAGCTAGGTTGATTTAATTTCATATATACGTATTATATCAAATTTGTAGTTATGTATCAACTTTTTAGCGATTTCCAATTACCGGAAGTAGAACTTATACTTTTTTTTAAAAAGCCTATAACTTGAGTACTGTTTTAGATAGATGATATATCACATAAGTAAACGATCTAATTCTCCGCCTACGGTCAAATTTTGAGTAA